AATATTAGTAGCGGTCCGATATTGAGTGTGTGGGTCTGCATCCCGTCGCGTGAATTCTAGTAGCAGTCCGACTGAGAATTGTTTAGCCAAGCTTAAAAAAAAAACTTTTTTTTTGGGTTAAAGCCAACTGTAATCCTCGTACTTTGTGAAAATAGTCATTACCATCCCTCTACTAAGGAAATATTCAATGTCATCCCTCTACTTTCCTTACAACATAAATGTCATCCCTCTACTACACTTTTTTTTGTTCAATGTCACCCTTAATTGGATGCCACTCATACTTTCGTTAACTTTGACAGTTAATTGCCCAACAATCAAACGTTTAACTTTTGTTTATTGATTTTTTGTCTAGCTAATGAAACCAGTAGGATCAATTCTTCTTTTTTTTTTCTTTTGGGTTTCTGTATTATTCTTTTTGGCCTTAGCCCTTAAATTAACAAAATGTAGTAACTCTTTATTAAAATGAGAATAAAATAGTTATAGGATCAATTCTTAAATATTAAAAATATAACAATTTAATTTTAAAAGTTTAAAAATTAAAAAAATTAGTAAACTAAAAAAAATCAAAAAGTGACTTTTTCACATGTACTAGAACTATATTAGATATTTATAATCAAATTAAGAGATTAGCTCAATTTGAAGAAAAAATTCTAACTAAGATTATAGAAAATTTCCTAGCTAAATTAAAATAGGAAATTCAAGAGACTAGAAAAAAATGACTAAGAAAATTTTTTTAATCTTAATCAAATTTATTTTTTTAGAATGAACTAATCACTCAATTTAATTGCAAATATCTAATACTATTCTCATATATGTGACAAAATCATCTATTAATTATTAATTTCTAATTTTTTAATTTTTAAACTTTTAGAGTTAAATTGTTATATTTTTAATTTTTAAAAACTAGTTTTATAAATATTTTATTTTCTCTTTAATAGAGAGGTAACAAATTCTGTTGGTGGACAAAAAATTAATAAATAAAAGTTAAATGTTTCACCTTTAGGCAATTAATGGTCAAAGTTAACGGAAATGTAGATGGCATCCAATTAAGAGTGACAATAAACAAAAGAAAATATGGTAGAGGGATGACATTTATGCTTTAACGAAAGTAGAGGGATGACATTGAATATTTTCTTAGTAGAGAGATGGTAATTAACATTTTCATAAAGTATGAGGACTATAGTTAGCTTTAACTTTTTTTAAAGAAACTTCTTTTTTTCTTTCACAATCTTAAAATTTTGTTAGAGAAGGATTTAAAATTTTACTTTTAAAGTAATTTTTAAATGAATTTAGAAAAAAATTACCAGTTTGGAAGCCATTTAAAAATTTAAAGTAGAGGAAGGTTTGAAATTTTATTAAAGAAAAATTTAAAAATTAAACTTTATGAAATAATCCTTAATAGTTATATGCTTTTTTTATTTTGTATGATAATTTTTTTTATATTTAAATGTTAATATGATAAAAAAAAATTAAGTTATATAATGCATGTATTTAAATATAAAATAATTATTACATTAATATATAAATATAAAAGATAGTCACGTAAGTAGAAAACGAAAAAATTATTTAACTTATGTGTACTATTATTAATACAAAAACTAATTCACTCAAATTTAGATGTTTAGAAATTTATGCCACCTTTTTTTAAAAAAATAAAAAACTTACGTGAAAAATTGGAGAAATTCTACAAACTAAAAAATTGAATTTTGCCCTGATACTTTCGTTTAACGTTGAGTTTTGCCTTGATATTTTCGTAGCTCCGAGTTGGGAATGGAAAAAAACCAATCTCTGAAAAAAAAACACGAAAGAGAAGGCGGGAAGAAAACGTTCCTCCTTCGCAGCTTCTCGAAGAAGCCAAGATGGACTCAATGGCAAGACACACATGTCTGAAACTGCAAATCGCCGCCGCCGGGAACCAACCCATCTTCGTCAAAGGCACTTGGTTCGATACCCACTTCGACCTCTCCATCACCGACGGCCTCCATGCTTGGGTCTGCCACGGTATCCTTTCAATCCCAATTCGCACACTTTGTTAAACACAAGGTTTTTCATTTTGATTTTTTTTAGGTTTTTTGGGTTTTTTGGGTTTTTTTTTGGTGTGTGAAATTTGGGATTTTTTGCAGCAACGGAGGAGGAGGTGAGGGAGAGAGCGGCGCTGTGGGATCAGCCGGTGGTTGAGTACATCGAATTGGCTGAGCGGTATTTAGGGTTTCAACAGCCTGGTTCAGTATACGGCTTTGCCGATGCCGGTGATGGCTGTAAAAGAGTTGGGTCTCTTTTTTATGAAGAACCCTGAAAAATTTTCTTCTCCCATTTCCTTTTGATGCACTAAAAGCTGGTGTAACCCTTATTTGTTGCGGTGATTGATTTTGTTTGCAGCTTTCATGGACTTTTGAGAAGGAAGGGATGAAGCTGGAATGGCGGTGGAAATGCCAACCCTCACCTGATACCCAGCAGACTACATCTGGAATTTTGGATTTTCTCATGGATTCAAACATAAGGCTAAGTGTAAGCTCATGTGTCATTTTTTTGCTTTTACCAGTTTGACAAACTAATTAGGGAGAATGCTTTCAGAAAGGAAATTGTATACAGTCCATCAAAAACTTCAATTTGGATTTTGAATTGATGTTTTATAGGCTTGGAATTCAACTCACTTTGGATTCAGTTTCCCATGATTGTAGTGTTTGATGACTTTTGTTATTTTACATTTGGATCAAGAAATTTGGCTAAGTTGATATGGATTTGAGTTGTCTAATTTTAATTTTAGAAAAATCATGGCCGTGAAGGAATACAAAGGAAGAGTAAAAAAAAGTAAAATGCCCTTACTTTAGGATATAGATTAGGGATGGGAGCTTTTCTGGGCCAGTTAGGGTGGCAATTTGACTTTACACCTTCCCCTGATGATTTCATATCTTCAAGTTATATTGATTTAGTGAATCCATGTTTTTTACAATATAAATGAGCCCTTAAGTGTTGCATTCAAAAAACGTGGATTATGTTGTAGTCTAGACACTTTTCCTTTAATAGCAGAATATAAATGCAGAATTGAAGGACTTCAATGTCGCGCGGTTGTATATGAAGAAAACTTTAGAGACAAGTTACAAAATTGTGAAGTATTAAGGATGGTTTGATGACAATCATTATGTAGGGTAGAATGCTGTTCAACCAAGTTCAAGTAAAATCCCTGTCACCTTAGTAGGCAGTATCCTTTTCTTTGCCCTTCATGAATTGCAAACAGTGTGTCCTGCATAAGTTGTTCAGTGCTACTGCCAGCTTGATGCGTAGATTCTTATTCTTGGGTTTCCCTTTCTAAAGATTGATGTCCTGCAAAATTGCAATGATCAGGCTGATAAATTTGAGTTCCGGAAGACATGGATTCTCATTCTAGAGTGTAGATGCCTATTGTTGTCTATGTCAGTATGGTACTATGGTTGTGCAATGCATTTGATCTTCCTTTTCTTCTCTTTCCTTTTTTTCACCAGGAGGAAGTTGTCAGAAAAACTCAATCTTTTGATCAACTGAAAGTGGAAGCTGAGAAGTGTTTAGGACAAAGTGAGAAATATAGCAATGAGAAAATCGACTTTGAATCTGCAATTTATGCGAAGGTGAGTTCCTTCAAATAATTTACTTACTCATTTTACTGTTCTTTGTGAACAAGTATCATTCCAATCTTGTGTTTGAGTTACCATTAAGTCTTTTCTTAAGTGTCTGCTAAAAATTGTTTATTCTCCTAAGGTAACCCCAATATTGTTGAATTTAGGCTTCCTATCCTTTTATATTGGGTAGAGGCTGATATGGTTGGTATATGTCAGACCTAGACATCTACCTTTAATTAGGTCTTTTTAAGAATCAACATAAGAGGCAATAATTTTTGTTGAATAGGAGTTATCGTAGAGTCTTCCTTAACCTAATTAAGTCTTCCTGGGCAGCAAGGTAGAACTTTCCATTCTGGTTCTTTTGTTAATTGCATAAAACCTGATTTTAGTATTACAAGTTGATCAACTATACATTAGAGGCTATTTACAACTCTGATATCTCTTGGTTTCTAAATCTCCGTAAAACTCTTAATATATACGTAGGGACAATTTGATCAACTTTACTATTCTTGATGCTTTCAACATGCATGTTTGGAAAACAGAATTTTGATCAGCGTACCTCTGATAGAGCTAACTCTAATCTTGCCCCTCAAATTTTGTGACTTTATTTGCTTTCTTTCTGTCTCAGTTCCTTTCAGTCTTGAATTCAAAAAAAGCAAAACTCAGGGAGCTCCGAGATCAGCTATCAAAACAGGAAACTGCTGGAAAACTTCAACTGGAAGAGGAAGATTCCCGTTCAACTGGTAAAACTGAGAGTTATAGTGGAAGTGACGACAAGACAAGTGAAGAAAAACCTGAAAAGAATGCTTCAAGCACTTCAAAGGATGTTCCAGCAGCTACAAGTCGTGGTCGAAAGAGAGTCACACGCAGGTAGCATCAAGCTAAATGTAGCATGTAGATTCTTGCTTGTTAAGCCAGTACTTTTCTTGGACATGTTTATTTTTTTCCTTTAAACTCTGAACCAAAGTAAGAAACGCAACAAAAGTCCATTAAGGTCCATTATTCTAACACCCTAGGCTCTCATGGTAAGGATGCGGACATGCTGTCAATTTTCTTTATGTTGTGACATTGGCATCACCCCAGCAAGATCAAAAGATTTTGATCTTGGAGAATCAAAATTAGGCATTGTTCACGGCCCAACTAAGAAGATATATCCTTGAATGTGTTAAAGATGGATTGTAATCAAGTAATGGACATGCCTAAACAAACAATCAAAACATTTATAGTTCACCTAATTTCAGCCCAAAGCGGTGGAAAGTAGAGTCTAAGGAGAGAATACTGGATATTGAATGGTCTATTAGAAGAGAAGCCTTTAAGGGTATCAACCGTAAAGAGTCGGAAACTTTAAATTAAAGGTTTTAAGTCTAATACAAATGGAGTTAGAAATTTTGGAGTTAGAAATTTTAATGATTGATAGACCTTTCTACTTTTTTTTTTTTTTTGATAGACTTGTACTTCACTCTAGTAATAATATATCTAATCTAATTGATAAATTTGTAGTAGTGATTTAGTTTTTTA